TCTTCAAAGTGCTGGGATTAAAAGTGTGTAACACCATGCCCATTTTGATTTTTTCTCCTTCATCTGTTTGTTTGAAATCTTCTTATAGATCATTGAACTAACCAGGGCCAGGGGTCCATCAAGCCCAACTTCCATTTTAGCTCCTTATGTAGTTGTTATGGGAACACCTGCCAGACACAGGGGTCAGAAACAAGTATCTGTCAAAAGGGACAAAGGATGACCCAGTGCCACCTTGGTTTTTTGAGCGTGGCATCCCATCTGCCTACAAGGTTAGTGGAATTCAAGCTATCTGCTTTATATGCATACACTCTGATTTGGAGAACTTTGGCTCACAAGGTGTAATAGCTTGAGTTGTCACCTTGACAACCTGGGAAGAGAGAACCTCAGCTGAAATATTGCATTGCAGACTTGGCTTGAGCTTGCCTGCGCAGCCGAGCCTAGGCTAGTGCTCTGCTAGGGCCTTTTCCTGGTCTTTGTAGGATTTCAAGGCCTCCATAGGGTTGTGGGGTCCATCCTGTTGCAGTCATCTCCTAGGTAGAAGTCATGGCTCAGCGGAGTGGTCACTAACCTTTCTGAGTAAATTTGGGGTGCCAGGACCTGTTATCCCAAGATACTGTCTTTTCCAGCTCTGAACCTGTCTACAGACTTGCAGGAATGGCACAGGCTCTCATCTTGCCTCCCACTCCAGGGTTCCCACAAAGCCTATTGGCTTTAGTGAAAGCAAGCTGACTCCTCTTCTGAGGTTTACTGTGAGCCTTGAGGCCTATGGCTTGCAGACATTCTTCTTAACTCTAAAATGGCCATCTTATCATAGAACTTGGCACGGGTTCAGGACAAGCCTTGTTATAATGCCTTGTGGCAGATGTCTCTCTCTCTCTCTCTCTCTCTCTCTCTCTCTCTCTCTCTCTCACACACACACACACACACACACACACATACACACACACACACACAAACACCCACACCACTGAAGGGTGTTTATTTGTACTTTTTTTTTTTACTGTTCTTTGCAAAAACAAAGCCAGTACAGGGTAGATCCCTTGGTATTTTGTTCCTGATCCCTGGGATTGAGATTTGGGGAGGACTTCTACCTCATTTTATTGAGAATGGGATTCCAAGAGTAGGGTCTCCTGTGAGTGCCAGTCTCATTGTCCCCCAGGTTTCCCTTATGTGAGAATGGTTATGTTAGTGGAGAGCTATGGACTTAATTCTAAACTAAATAATTCAACTGTCACAAGGGAAGGTGTAAGAGCACCAATAACAGGAAAATCAGAGTTTCCCACGGCCAGTGGGTCCTTAAGCCATCGAAGTGCCTGCAACATAGTCCCTGGAACATCTTGTGAAAGGCTGGGTGAGTCATGAGGAAAGAACTTAGGGTATGTGTGCGGCATAAATCCTGAAAGTTGACGGGAAAAATAAACCAAGGCCAACACCCAAAGTTCTGAGCTGTCTGTGCTGAGAAACCTTCCTTCTGCGTCTTCATCCTTGAGGTGCCAGTGATGTCATCATGGTGGGAGATAGCATATGCAGCCTAACAGAAGGCAGCCCTATGTTTCCCCAGACCAGGCGGCTCCTGTTGTTGGTGCCAATTGATGGGGCCTTGGAGAGATTTTGCAACTTTTTTTTTAATGAGCTACCAATTAGGGCGTCCAGGGTCCTGTGTAGAGGTTGCATCCCCAGGGCAGTGAGACTTTTGATTGTGGTCCATTGAGGTCTACATATCTCCTGAACAGCTGCCAAGCACTCGATGTCCTGGGATCTCAGAGCTGTAGGGAAGAAATGGACTGCAGTGGCAAGGGCATTCACACTACCTCCAAGGTCCAACTGCATGCAGCTTAGCCCCTGCCACTGAGATCCAGACACCATGTGATCAAACCCATACAACTCTGTGGCTGTAAGCCTCATGCTCATTCCAGGTACCCTAAGGGAGTTCCAGAGGTATGGGCCTTGCGGGAGGGGCGGCTCTATATTGGTGCTCCCAGAGCTCAGAGTTGGGCCATGTCCCATGTCACATCATGGTCATCAGGGGCAGCTCCTTGCCTGGATCACATGAGCGGAGGTGTTCTCTCCTCAGAGGAGTAGCCCCGTGTGGACGAGGAAAACTTGTCTGGACTGCTGTGTGTTGCAACAGCCTTTCTAGAAGGTTGTAGGGGTGCTAGAAGAGGGACAACTCACAAGTTGTTTCCCAGCCTGCATGGGTATGCAAGATATCACTGCCCTGCTTACACAGAGGAAACTGAGGCACAGAAAATCTTCCAGTGGCACCCAGAATATGGTGGGCAGGTAAACTGCACCCTATGTGCATAGATCTGGCCACTGCTCCACAGATGTGTGGGCACCTGGCCTGGATTTCAGTGCCAGCAGAGAGCCAATGTGGGCGAGAAGTGTGGTACAGCCCAAGGGTAGGAGTCCACCCTCGGGGTTCCTCTAAGCCTCCAGGGCCTGGCTCTTGCCAGCTATGTAATTGGCAAACGTGTCCTCACAGGCCTGAATTGGGGAGATGCAGAAATAGCCTAGCTCAGGAAACTCCTTCCGCCAGGGCCAGGGCTGGCCTGGCTCTTACGGGCAGGTAGCAGTACCTGCCACCTCATCGGATGCTTTTGTTGGCTGGGCTGGAGAGGATCACAGCAGCCTCTGTGTGGGTTCTGGATGACTGCTGGAAGAGCTTGGTACAGACAGTATCTGCTCAGCCCTGGTCCCTGGAAGAGCTATGTGGCTGCTGTTTGAAGTGAGGCTGGAGCCCATGGAGCAGAGCATCCGAGGCTTAGCTGCTCCCTCTCATCGTCCTTCATGTACCAGGTCTGACCTGAGTGGAGCTAGGAGTGGTCACTCTCCAGTGACCATAGCCAGGGCTGCTTGAGCAGGGTAGTCTTGTGCCCCTGCGGCTAGGCAGTCTGCCAAAAAGGTTATACTCAAATGCCAAGTAGGGAGTACACCCCAGTATCTTCATTGGTAGGCCAAATCTGCTGTTGGCCACAGCAATGGGTGACCAAGGCAGAAGGAGGAATTTAACTGTTCCTTAAATGTCCAGACTGGCTTGTGACAATAGCAGATGAGCAGCAGTGTTGAGCTCACAGGAAATCCCAGTACAAGTCAGAGGTCAGCTAGGCTGGAACTGCTCTCTGTGCCCTTGGCCTGGGTGTATTTGTGCCCAGACTGTTTGGCATTGCTAATGCTGACCTTTCTATACTCCAGGATGGGGGGGCATGCTGAAGACCTGGCTGACTGATCCTGCATCTCTTACTTCCATAGGGGCTGAGGCCATCCCTGAGCTAACTTGAACAAGGGAGTTCTTATGCGTGCAGGCCCATCCCTGACCCCTCAGGAATCAGGCCACTTTAGTGTATATGGGTAGTCATATTACCTCTGGCCCACATGCACTGTGCATTAGGTGATGGCCCCCACTCTGGCTTGGGACCAAGATCTGCAGCTTCAAACTTGTCTTCTGAGCCTCAGGGAACACCTACCAGCTGCAGCTGTGTCGGATGATGACTGGGCTGACTCTAAAATCTGGGTGTCCTTCTGGCACAGGTAAGTAACCCTCCCTCATCAACATGTGGCTCTAGGGTGGGAGGGAAAGGAGGAGACCTGAGACCTATTGTTATATGAAGGATATAGGAAGAAATAGGAGGCTGTAGTGCAATGTCACACTGAAGAGTGTCACCTTCAGGTGGAGCAGGGGCTGTCAGTGTCTATTTTTTTTTTTTTGCCATTGCATTATGATTGGTAACTGTGAAAAACATTTTTCTAAATGAGAAGCTTGTATGAGTTTGGACTAAGAGAGGATGACAGTGTCATGGAGGGCAAGGCTACCTCCCTGAGCAGGTCAGATGCCACTGGCAGGATGGAGGTACCCGTGGGCTTGCTGGAGTCTTGTTCAGGGAGGCAACTGGGAATTCTCTCAAATAAGCATCTGGAACAGGCCTAAGGTGGTCCATGCTGTTTTGGTTGCAGACTTGGACTGATTAAAGACAGCTGTGTAGGGCTGCTGTGAATCTGGGGACAGGACTGCAGGCAAGGCACCCAAGGCACCTTCAGGTCTTCTGGGTGAGGGACTGCTGGTTTGTGAACAGTAAGAGGTTAAGTACTGGGATGTAGAGCGCGGTGGTCCAGGAGGTGGGGCAGAGGTCAGAAGGGCAGCTTAGGTAAATGCATGTGAGTGTGCATGTCTGTATAGTGTGCGTTTGTGAATGGCTAGGATGGGGGAGAAATGCCAGGAAGATGCCTCTGGGCTCTGTGCCAGAAGATCGGTTAGCCCGGGAACAACTGGCTCTGGGAAGGAGTTAGGGGAATGTGCTGATCCCCTGGGGTTTTTGGGCTGCAGGACCCATTAAACACCCATTTTACCCACCAGCACGTATCCACGCACACTGTAGCACCCAGGTCCTACCCAGGTCCTACCCATCAGCTTCTGGCTAGGAGAGGTGAGAGTGACAGGTCAAAAATGATTTATTTATGTTATTCATTTAAGTGTGTGTGTGTGTGTGTGTGTGTGTTTATGTGTGTGTGTATGTGTGTTCATGAGTCAGTTTTCTCGTTCCACCATGTGGGTCCTGGTGATTGAACTCATGTCGTCAGGCTTGGCAGCAGGTGCCTGTACCCACTGAGCCATTTCCCAGGCTCAGAGTGACAGCCCTTTAAATACAAATTTTGGAAAACCTTTCTCAGCTAACAGTTTGAGGTTGGAGCCTGAGGCAAGGAGGAGCTAGAGGAGAAGGAGGAAAAGAAGAGGAGAAGGTTGTTTATGGGCTCTACTACTGAAGGTGCTGTTCTCTGTACGCGGCATTTCCACGGTGCTGTAGGTGCGGTGCTGTAGGTGCGTTCTCCAGGGGCCTCGTCTGTTGGATGGAAACGCTGAAGATCCAGGCATTCACGACTTCACTTTTGGAAACCCAGTAGTTCTTGTCTTTTTTAGGTTCCTTGACTCTGGACTTAGGACTTCCCTTCCTCAAGTGACAAACACTGTAGGGTAAGGACACGGGGTCCCCTTCTCCCCTAGGGGACAGACAATGGGCAGATGGCACGCACACCTGACTGAGTGGCTTCCTGCCGCATGGACATGGCTTCTGCTGCCTACCCAGTTACTCCTAAGGTGGAACTGGGCTTGCCTGGGTCCTGGGATTGTAGGACAAGGTAAGTAGACTCCACAGAGAACAGAAAAGAGCCAGTCCCCTCACTTCCTGAGCCCTCTTCTTGTCAGCTTGGTAGTTCATGTCCCCCAAATACTCAATGGCTTGGGGCACTGGCCAGAACCTGTCCACACCGGGACCATTCATCTTGCTGGGCTTTCCCGGGCCACGGAGCCTGCGTGCTGGACTCTTCCTCCTTTTCCTGGTCATGTATCTGCTCACAGTAGCTGGAAATCTAGCCATCATCTCCCTGGTAGGGGCCCACAGATGCCTGCAGACACCCATGTACTTCTTCCTCTGCAACCTCTCCTTCCTGGAGATCTGGTTCACCACAGCCTGTGTGCCCAAGACCCTGGCCACCTTTGCTCCCCCGGGTGGAGCCATCTCCTTGGCTGGCTGTGCCACGCAGATGTACTTCGTCTTTTCGCTGGGCTGCACTGAGTACTTCCTGCTGGCTGTGATGGCTTATGACCGCTATTTGGCCATCTGCCTGCCCCTACGTTATGGTGGCATCATGACACCCGGGCTGGCGACACGATTGGCCCTTGGATCCTGGCTGTGTGGCTTTTCTGCCATCACGGTGCCTGCTGCCCTCATCGCCCGCCTCTCCTTCTGTGGCTCACGGGTCATCAACCATTTTTTCTGTGACATCGCACCCTGGATAGTGCTGTCCTGCACCGACACGCAGGTGGTGGAGCTGGTGTCCTTCGGTATTTCCTTCTGTGTCATTCTGGGCTCGTGTGGTATCACGCTGGTCTCCTATGCCTACATCATCACTACCATCATCAAGATTCCCTCTGCTCAGGGTCGGCGCCGTGCCTTCTCCACCTGCTCCTCCCACCTTACAGTGGTCCTGATTTGGTATGGCTCCACTATCTTCTTGCATGTGAGGACCTCGGTAGAGAGCTCCTTGGACCTCACCAAGGCCATCACAGTGCTCAACACCATTGTCACACCAGTGTTGAACCCTTTCATATACACCCTGAGGAACAAGGATGTGAAGGAGGCTCTGCGCAGGACAGTGAAGGGAAAGTAAGCCCCTTCCCACGTGCGTCTCCCCTCAGAGGCTGCTCTGCAGGACTGGCCTCGGCTGCCCTGTGGGCCTGTGCCAGTGTTCAACACTCTTCTCTGTGTGGCTCAGAACAACACCCACCCTAGTTTCTGCTTTCATGACATTGTCTTGTAATGTTTGCTGTCCCTCCTGGTTTTAGGAAGATTCTGGAAAGGAAACAGGGTGCTGGGTCCCTAGGAGTTCCCTTCCAAGGGATTAAATATTGGATGCTATGCACCAGTTCTGGCCAGACCCTCTACTAGGTCTGCATCTTGGTCCAATAGGCTCTTTACCACCCTACAAATGTCACCCAGCCATACTTGGATTCTCCAAAAAGGATATGCTAGGCTATCAGGAGTCCATGAAGACAGAGGTTAACCATGGTGACAAAGTGAACAAAAACAAAAATAAAAAACAAAAACTAAGCACAGATGACTCAGAGGAAGTTGGCATCGTTCAAGGGCTCTGTGGGATCACACTAGGGTCTCAGAGCACGTCCACCACACTTCATACCTTTCTGGGTCTTTAGCTGTTGGAAGTGGAGGTACAGGAAGGGGTCAGAGGGTCATGGGGCCATGGACGCCCGAGTAGTTTCAGGTTCTGCTTGGAATTGGGAAAGGAACTGTGGTAATTCTCTAGTACATTGGTACTTACTCTTGGAGCAGCATGAAAGGGATCTGTCACATCACTATTCTGAACCTGCGTCTCCATTCATTGATGGGACCATGACAGTACTGTCTCAAGGAAGCCTTGTGAGTATGAATGACTTAGTGTGTCCAGAGTGCTTAGAGCAGGGGCCAGAAAATGCCATTAATATTGTTTCATAATTTATTAGATAAATCAATATAGACTGTTCTGTCTGTTTGTTTGGAGATATTGACTCATGTGTCTCAGCTGACTTTAAACTAGCTATGTAATGTAGCAGGAGACTGCTCATTCATTCCTGGCTGCCCAGACCCGAATAACCACACAGAAACTATATTAATTACAACACTGCTTAGCCTATTAGCTCAGGCTTCTTATTAACCAGCTCTTACATCTTAAATTAACCCATTTCTATTAATCTATGTATTGGTACGAGGCTGTGGCTTACTGGTAAGGATTCAGCATCTGTCTCTTTCTGTAGCTACATGGCATCTCCTTGACTCCGCCTACTTTATCTAGCTCTTCCAGCCTGGCTATATTCCGCCCTGCTATAGGCTGAAGCAGCTTCTTTATTAACCAATGGTAATAAAACATTTAAAACATTAATAGCATACAGAGGGGAATCTCACAGCAGTATAACTGAGGATGACCTTGAACTTCTGATCCTCCTAACTCCACCTCTTAAATGCTGTGATTACAGGCGTGTACCACCAACCCTCAGTTTTCTGGGCCTGGGATTTGAATCAGGGCTTCATGAAAGCTAGAGAAGCACGCTCCTGACCAAGTTACTCCCCAGCTCTCACACTGTCCGCTTAGTTTCCTCCTTTTAACTTAGACAACCAACAGCACCTGTGATCGCTACCTCATCCACCTTGATCTCTCAGACCCTAGGGACCCCAGAGAGAACGGGACTCGTTAGGTGGCCTGTATTGAAAATAAGTGGCTGGTCATTTGGATTTGGAGAGGGCCCAGTGGCTCTGAGAGAGTCTGTACTTTGGTTACTTCAGATCTTTGGTCAGATCATCTCTTGTTCAGGTTGAGACATCAGCTGCCTGAGCCTGCCTCGCCCCGGCTACAGGCTGAATCAGGGCTGCTGTGTGGGAGGTCCAAGCTCAGCACATTACTTACTCTAGCTGAGCAGGAGGAATTGTTGGGTAACAGGGTGATGTCCCCTTGTAGGCCCTTCCTATCCTTTCCAATATCACTGGGGCTAATCACAGGCTGCCTCATTTGACACTCCTCTGGCCCCATGTCCTAACCTTTAATGCTTCCCTGTGTGTCCAACCCAAGGCAAGGCCTATATGATCCACTTTTTGACTTTTGTCTGCACTGTCTTCCAGAAGGGAAGCTCAAGAAGGATGTAGAATCTCTGCTCTGCAGTGACCCCTGCCAAGAATGGGGCTCGGATGCAGGCACCACCAGCCGAGAATCCCCTATCATCCAAGCACTGGAGCCAGAGGACATGCTGACCCTCAGGATTGCACACTCAACTGGACTTGAACAGTCAGCCATCTTTTCTGTTGACAGTTGTATATCCCATGTTTGTGGTTACTTTCCAAATAATGAATTAAAGAGCACCAGGTTCAGTTATTCATGTTTGATGGAGAAGTCAGTATCACACTACACCATGGGGTTTCATGACCTCCAGCCGCTCCTGGGGGATACTGATAGTGGCAGGCATAGAGGGATCATGCTCAGTATCTGTGCTCTGCTGTGCAACAACCTCTTTGCTGTTGGCTAGCCAGACACTCTGAGATCCCTAGCCATGTGTCTGAGGTCGTATAGCAGGGACAGCACTCAGGAACCCCTGAGTCCCCTCCTCTGTCATTCTGACATGGCACTGCTTTCACAGATGTCCTTACAAATTCTCTCCTCCACTGAGGCCACTAGGGTGGTGGGTGGCCCTGAGAAAGAGAGACAGAGTATGTGACTGGGGATGGGGGAGGTGACCAGTGCCTTCCTGGTCACCTTACTTTGGGTCAAGGTGATAGGTGTAGCCTTGGGTGGAAGAGCCCACTCTTGGGCTTAACCTGGCAGAGGTCATCTAGTACCTCTCACTTTTGTGAATGGCCCAGATTTTTATGAACCGTGACAGGAGGTGATGCCGTGCAGCACTCAGAGTTTTGAATGGGCCCTGCAGTGTGTGCAGAACGGTAAGTTCTGGGGACCCCAGATCCCCCTGGGACCCAGGTCTGTGCTTCCTGGGTCTCAACCTTTCCCAAGAAAGCTAGCATCTCCTGGAAATTCAACATTCGACACAGAATTTACTTCCTAGGCTTAGAAATTAGACAATTTTTGAATACTGAAAGGGAAGACCTAATATTTTCTTCTGACTGATTTTCTCCATATGATGAGTGTATTAGTTGGGGGAGAGAGTCTCTAAAGGAGATGTTCTCAACCTGTGGGTCACGACCCCTTTGGCGGTCAAATGATCCTTTCACAGGGGTCACGTGTCAGATATCCTGCATATCAGATATTTAAGTTACAATTCATAACAGTAGCAAAATTACAGTTATGAAGTAGCAATGAATATTTATAGTTGGGGGGTCACCACAGCATGAGGAACTGTATTAAAGGGTTACAGCATTAGGAAGGTTGAGAACCACTGCTCTAAAGGAACAGAATTGACAGACTGAACACACACATGCACACACACACACATGCACACACACACACACATACACACACACACACACACACAAAACATGCACCCCCCCTACACACAAGGGACTTAGGGAGTGGCTTGAAGTTCTACACTACAGTCCTTTATCAAATGAACCAGGGCAGGAACTCAACACAGGAACCGGAGGCAGGAACTAAAGTAGAAGCCATGGAGGAGTGTTGTTTACCGGATTGCTCATCCTCACTTGCTCCGTTTGTTTTCTTATTCATTCTAAGTTGACTTGCCCAGTGGTGATATCACCCATAGTGAACTGGGATCTCCCACATCAATCCTTAATCAAGAAAATGTCTTACGGACTTTCCTATAGGCAGTCTGGATGAAGGCATTACTTCAGTTTGAGTTCCTCTTCCCAGATAACTCTGTCTTATGTCAGGTTGAAAAAAAAATCCAATCCGTACAAAGAAGAAATCTGAAAGCTGTGTGTAGTCAGAGTCTGCTTGTTTCTTTCCCTGCCACCCAGGCCTGAAATAACCAAACAGAAATTGTATTAATTAAAATACTACTTGTCCTATTAGCTTATGCACATTTCTAGCCAACTCTTTCATCTTAAATTAACCCATTTCTATTAATTTGTGTATTTCCACGTGGTTATATCCTACTGGTAAGGTTCTGTTCGGTGTCCGGTGTCTGTCTCCTGCAATGGCTACAGTGGCTTCTCTCTAACTTCGCCTACTTTCTCTCTACTTTTTCCATCCTGGCTATATTCTGTTAAGCCATTGGCCCAAAGCAGCTTCTTTATTAACCAATGGCAATAAAACATATTCACAGCATATAAAAGGGACTCCCACATCAGCTGTTCTGTTCAGGCCAGTGGGTAGGAGCCACATTTCCATGACAACAGGAAGGCTGCATAATGATTGCCAGTTTGCATTTATTGATCTCCCTTGGTTGTTCATTCATTTGTTCGTTCATTCATTCATTCATTCATTCATATATACTTACTTATACTTTTTGATTTAATTATTTTGAGAAAGGTTCTTATTATGTAGCCCTGGCTACTCCCCAGACTCATAGAGGTTCATTAGCCATTGATTCTCATGTGCTGGGATCAAAGATGTACACCACCACACCTAGCAACAACTTTGAAGCACTTGTTTATTTACTAATATTTTTACTAATATTTACTAATATTTTTTTAAATTTCTGTTTAAAAGTAATTGTGTGTACTGTTGAAGTTCAATCTAATACTTCCATGACATGTTTGCATTTGAAAATGAATAAAATTTGTCAATAGTCTATTGGGCATTTCTGGGTCTATGCCCATGGGAAATACTTATCTGAAGGACTCTCTCACAAAGCCCTAGTCAGGCTGAGTGCTCAGGTGATACTGGTCTTGCAGAGTGAGTTGGGAAATGTCTCTCAGCCAGCCTTAGATTTCAAGGAACTGTATAACTTTAACATATTTGGCAGAATTCACTGAGGAACCGGACTGGGTCTGGAGCTTTCTCTTTTGAAAGATTGTTATTTGATTCAATTTTTTCATGTGAAACTTTTAAAGAATTTGAGAAACCCTAATTTATTTGCCTCATTACTGAGGCATGCATGTCCATGCATGTTAGTGGTTTAGTATGTGTTTAGATGGTTTCTAGGCATTTCCTTATTCACTCATAAAAATGCAATCACAATGCCAGAATGTCATACCCTTTTGGAAAATATTTATTTATTTTTTGCCAGTATAGATACTTCCTAGACCAAGGATTCTAAGAACAGATCAGTCAATCATTATTGCTGTCATCCAACCATCCTCCAGCTCAATAAGTCAGCTACCCATCCATCAACCTACCCATTTACCTATTTCTCTGTTTACCCCTACACCCATCTATTCACTCACCAACCCACCCATCCACTCACCCATACATCCACCCACCCATCCACCCACTCACTTATTCACCCACCCGCCCACCCATCCATTCAACCACTCACCCACCCACCCAGGTATTCGTTCATCTGTCCACCACCCATACCTCTTTCCACCAATCCAACAAATATATAAACTCACCCATTTACTATCTACACACCATTCATCCACTTGCCTCCTTATCCATTATACATTCATTAATTCATCCACTTACCCATCCTTCCATCCACCCACTCATTCATCTATCATCTATCTCTTCATCTGTTTATCCTTCATCCATCCACCAATCCACCCACTCATTGAAGGATAAATCTTTGAGGCTCTAGGACAGGGTTGGAGTAAAGAAAGCTTCTTCCTGCTGGACCTATAGACTCTGGGTGCTGTTCATCTGCATCTGTTAGTCTAGCATCACTTCCTTTAAGAGT